CGTGGATCTGACGTAGGGGAAGGTCTCCTGCATTTTCCATTTCCACCCAACCTTTCCAATTCCTGACTTATGGTGTCATTAAAGTACAATTAATTACTTTTGTGGTACCTCTGTTTCTCTTGTCTGTGCTTTACTTGGTCTCTTTATTTATTCAAAGCAAGAAATCTTCAGAAAGCAAATTAAAATAGTAAACATATCAATTAAAAACAACCCAAGGGGGAAAAATATCTGTGCGTCCAGATGTATCATGGAAACCCTTTATAAATAGGAGTACAGTAGGGATATTATTAGTGGCTTGAGGTCTGTTTCTGGGCATGACTCACTATGTTGGCATTGACCTACAGAGCAGACATGGTCACTTTATATTCATATCCTGGGGATATGAATATGAACCATGGCACCACAGGTGCTGCTGTGGCCCAGTTCCATCCCCCAGAACCAGCCAGATCTACTCACCAGGCTCCATGCAGTATAGCATGGCACTCTGCCATCATCATCATTCCAATCATAGAAGGAGGCCTGCTGGCACTTTCCCACCTCCCCACGCAGCCAACCACCGTGGCATAGAGATGGGACGGAATCTCCCTGCTCAGTTGATCAGTGATCAGCTGCGTGCGGAGGCAGGGAAGTGTCAGCTGGGCTGCTCCTGCAATTGGCAGGACAAAAAGGGAGGGGGAGCACCATGCACAGCTCTGTGAGTGAACCTGACTGGTTCTGGGAGAGGGAATTGGGCTGCCATCCTCAAAATAGGAATGAGAAGTGCCCATGTCTACTACAAAGCCCTGAGTGGGCGCCTCTTGGCCTGCTTTGTCCCATCAGGATCGGCCTTGCAGCTGAGGTAATCATTAGAGGCCCTTTACTGACAGAGGTGGTATTAGAGAGAGGAAATGGGACTTTGCCTTAAGGAATGTGGAACTATCCAGAATGGTGATAATTGTGTTGCAGCTCCCATCAGGCCTCATCATCACAGCCAGCAGTCGGGGAGGGACTTGCAATTGAACCATATCTGGAGAGTCATACATTCTCCCCCTCCACTCAATATCTGTTAAGAAAATATTTTCCTCCAAGGGATAGATTCACTTTGCACTGCAGCTGCTGTTTTCACCCAGTAAGAGCAGATCATGAAGAATTTGCCCAAAGTTACATGTACATCTTCAGGCACTTATTGTATATATAGCTACCATTCATGGCTTATGTTGTCCCTGATTTAAATGTACTGTACTTGCAT